AGGCTATCGGGCAGCCCCAGGTCAACCCGACCACTTTTGCATCCACGATATCGCATCACACCCAATCTTTACCTCGCTGGTGCTCCTCAATGAGTTTCTCGACGCTGACGAGGTGGCTGAGGAGGCGTGCCGGGGTGGCTTTCCCTGCACTGTCTCCCCACCAGGAGCTGACGGAGCCCAGCGATCCAACTGCTAGCCCTCAGCCTTTTCTCAGGGCCCCTGTTCGGCGACAACTGAGCCGCAGAGTGTTCAGAAAAAGATGGATGTTGTCAGCTGGGTCTCCGTGGTCTCGCTGCACCGTGTCGTGCTCCAAGCATGACAAGTCAAATATTCCCATGGCACTTCCTGGTTCTCCGGTTGTCAGTCAGCAAGAAAATCGGCAAGCAAGAGGCAAAGTCAGCGCACTCAGACACTTGATGAGCAGAGTCTCAGCAGGCGGTTTCCAACGTCCAAATTCGACGCTTTTTGGGCGAGCTCATCCTTGCCATTTGAAGACTCATCTGATAACTGCCTGTCCAGCTTCAGCAAGAGTGGCTGGAAACCGACTGAGTCCGCTTCTCATCAAACCCAGCAGCCAAGGAGCATTTGCGACACCTGGGTTGGGGCTTTGGGGGCGCTTCAGGTTCCGCGAACGGCCACAACTGCCTTGACATTCCTGCCGCCCTAACAGCAAAATCTGTTGGACGAGCGAGCTTCGAAGCCTGAGCAGATGCCTACTACAGTAAAGGGAAGGAAGCGCGGGCACTCGTTTTAGAACGCCGTTCAAGACAACTTGAGGGCAAAGACCTCACAGGTTGCCTGCCGCCTCGGCGTGCCCCTCACCCCCCTGCATGTCGATGCTAGCGCTTAAATCCAATTGGCGGCGACGACAGCCAAATGTTTCACCCCAGCTCATTCGCCTTTTGCTGGAAACACCACCTCGAAAACATCCTCCCCATGGTTAACATCGTCAGCAGACCCCCAGGGCCCGCCCTGACGGCGGCGGTGAGGGCTTTCCGACATGTGAGCTACGCTAGAGCTGAAGAATATGTGCCGTTCTCTGCGCCGAGCACCCTGTTTTCTCGGTTTCATCACCCATGTCACAGAAACCTTGGCCAGCTGCCGCCCGCTGTCGCCACCGTTCCAGCACCCTGTCGAGGATTTCGTCATTTCCAATGACACCAAAAAGCTGGCTCCGGCAACAAAAACAGACACAACCAGGGCAGACAGCAAAGTGACAACTAAAGTTGGAGCCGGGAATGGTGTAAACCGGATGAATTTAGCAACCAAGCAATTTTTACACCGCTCCGTGGTGATCCAGCGTCTTGACTTGCTGTCTCGACACCATTTGTTGCGCGCGCTCGGACGCCTCGAGGTCGTGCCCCCTCCGTCCACGGAGCCCCACCTCTTGACCTTCCACAGAAGTGATCGCGTTGATGGTCAGCCTCTGTCCGAGCGGCGGCGGCTTACATCTGATCTCGCGCTCGGATGGGCACCCACAACTTATGAACCCAGCTCGGGAAGGAGGGGCTCCCGCTCCGCCGGATACGCCGCGCCGTGCCGCACGGTAAATGATACCGGCGCGTTTCCATTCCACCTCGAGGTGTGCAAAGATGCAAAGAAAGAAGATGGAAACAAACTTCCGCGCTTCAACAGCAAGCAGTCGGCCAGTCAACAGGGCGGGCTGTTTTTAGACCACTTTGCGGCGAGCCTGGCGCCCGGGATCCCTCTGAGAGGCTGATATTTCGCCCGCAGCGCTTCCGAAGCCAATCACGGGACACCGCCCGACGCCGTGCCCAACGTTCCCGGATGTTTGACCCGAGGCGGCGGTTCCGAGCCGATTTTGTTGCCCGATCCAAGGGTTTGGTTACTGCACGATCGGCGTGTAACAAGGCTACCTTGTCGGCGGCGTGACGGATCCGGTGCCCCTGACAATAACATAAGCGCGTGTGGGGGAGGCAAGCAGATGTTTGTTGGTGACAACGAAGCTGCCAGGCTGCCTTGGGCGGGCCTACTTGCTCATAAGAGTGAGCGTCGGGAGACATTCTCTGCGCCCCTTGAGTACATTGAAGCGCCGCCCCTGGTTTGGCTTGCTTCTCAAACCAACAAAGACGGCCTGGATTGCCTCTGCTTCTTTGTCACGAGCGATCTTCCCCTGAAGCACGGATATCGGCCTGTCACAGCAACCCCTAATCCAGATATTCGGGTGTCAAGGAAAGAGAAATGACGAACGACAAGTCGTTTGCGGCCTCTTCACTATAGATCTGAAGCTCAAACAGTCAGATAAGCTTTCAGAGTCTGCGGACGAGTACATACAGAGATAGACACAGAAGAGCATTGACATACAAAATATATCCCCGTCGTCATGACTCACAAACACCAAACTCCGAGCTCCTTCGCGCATTAATACATACATGCGATAAACTGCTTCAATACTCTCCATATTCGATCCGCGATGGCCCCTTGGTTGTTCCAACCCCGGTTCCCTACCTCTACGGTCTCAGAACAGTTTTCAAGCTTCTCATGACGCAAATTTGCTTTCTCGACATACCCAGCACACCAAGCTCTCAAAGCCATCGTTTTATGTTCGTTGAGATGTGTGGAAAGCCAGAGGAAGAGGGTGTGAAAACTATCTGCAAGGTCATGGCGAGATTTCACCCTATTTGGCAACTTGATCAGGGCGGTGTGACCAAGGAGTCAAAGCCGGTCTTCCACAAGATTTTGAGTCTTGGAGGCGGCTCTTGCTTACGTTGCCGCAAGGGGCGAACTTCAGGCGTGTTGGTTGCCCCCAAAGTCACACTTGATCAGAGCTGGGCTTGACGGATTCTTGGGTTTCGGCCTTGCAATCGCTGTTTTCCAGCACATTTTCCCGGCAGCTTGGACAGGAACATGAAGACCATACCCGACCTGCACCACAGGAAATCTGATGCGGATGGGGAAGCGCTATTACTGGTACCACAACCCCTGGCTTTATTTGCTGGCAAGATGGCCGAGAAGAGAGTGACAACACGGGTGTAAAATCATGCCGACCACGTAGGGTCGTTGCCTTTGGTCTCATCGCCCTCCGCATTCGGTACCGCCTCATCATGATCGTCTTCTCCACTTGAGGAACCAGTCGAGGGCTTTTCGCCCTCGCCTGCTTCATCTCCTCTTGCTCCTCCGTGGAGAGTGGAGGCATCTTTCTGACTTTGCCCGGACCTTTTGCGAAATTCAAGAGACTTTTGTTGATGAGAGACTGGGCCTCCGGGCTGTATCCCACGGCGAAGCTCGGCGGTTGGTTCTCTTGAAGCCATACGAGATTCGCATGTACTTCTTTGATCGCCCAGCCCTCCATTTGCCAGCCCCGTTGCGATTTGGGAAGAAAGAGTTGCGCCACGGTTGTTGCGTGCCAGCGGAACCAGTACTCGACGTTACGAGTTTGGAGCTGGCCCTGGGTGCGGAGAGAAATCGCCGTCTCTTCTTCCTTCTTGTCGGCGAGGGCAAGGTCGTGGTGGAGGGCTAAGCGGACGTCGAGATCATAGGCGTTCTTCTTGCAGAGGTCTGCCATGTAGGCTTGGTGGTCGTTCATCTTGGCGAGGCGTTCCTCGTCCATCTCGTCGCATTTTCTCCGGTGGCAGGTAGGACAAAGGGCGATGGTAGCGTTGCAGATGGCTACGACCCGCCGGTATGGGACATCGCAGATTTGCCCGCTGGTGGCTGTTTCAGCGCAGAAGGGTCGGATGAGGGAGTTGCATTGGCAACGCCAGCGAAGAGTGGCGAGGAGACACATCTTGGTCGAGCCGGAAGGGAGACTGTAGACGGATGCTGTGATGAACTGACCGCCAAGGGAATGTCGTTCGTCTCGACCCCTGAGGGCCGGGTATTTATCTTCGCAAGCCTTCGGGACGGGATGGTCAAGGTACGCAACGGCTAGCTCAAACCTACAGCTGCGTGGCTGACCCAGTCATGACGATAACGCATACGATACATGCGCCCCTAACGGCGGACGCGCATACGGGATCTAAGGCAGTCCCGCACTGATGGGTCGAGTGGCTGCACGAGGCGCGTCGTTGAGAGCCGACTAACTCTCTCGGACATTAGGAAGAGCCCGGAGGTAAACCATCGCATCGCAGTTCCATACATACGGGAGAGCGCCTTGAGGGTCGACTCCAACTTCGACATTGCCTCGATACGTGAGGGTCAGCAGCCGGTGAACCCCGTTCTTACCAGGCATGCCAGCCCTATCTCGGCCTTCGTGACAAGCCGGGGGCGGACAGCATCTCGGGGATAGCGCTCAGTATTACTCATGTTGGCGTCAATACAGCGCCCAGGAAACGGATGCCAGTAGCTTGAGAACCGAAGAAGTTGAGCGTGTGAATTTCCAGCCACAGTTGCCCATCGCAAGACTTTGTGGGCGAAGTTCCCATGGTTCAGGTAGTGTCGCTACTCTCCTGGCGCACCGGCGCTTCGGATTCCCACTACCAAACTCAATCCGCCGGGCAACATATCAACACGGAGGGAGCATACAGCCCCATCATGCACATCTCAGGGGCACAGGAGGGGAATACAACAAAGGAATTTGCCAGCTCTGGCAACCTCGATCTTGTTAGATAAAAAACACGATGGTTGAAGACGATGTAGCGTTCTGTTATAACCATCACGAAATCCTGATGACTCTCGAGGAGACAAACGCCTTCATGAGCGGGCCGTTTATGGGTTCCACACAAAGGAAACACGCGTACCTAAGACGGTACCTCCGAGTCACGTCAGGGACGCCATCGGCTGAAGCCAGACCGTTTGCAGAACAATCCAGCTTTTCCTTCCCACGTACCAGAGTCTGGTAAATCCCACGTGGTATCGATGTCGTCTTTTCAACTGTCTTCCGCTTTGCGGATTCTCCACCCCCTTCCAAGGCCAATGTGGATCCACCCATCCGGATGTTACTCAAAATATCCACAACCGAAACCCACAACCCACAACCCACAACACACATAAACCCAAATTACTCGCAATACCAACAAGCAAGCAGCAAGCCGGCTCAAGCCCGGCTAGCTCAATCGGTAGAGCGTGAGACTCTTATAGAGTGAGGATCTCCGTAATCTCAAGGTTGTGGGTTCGACCCCCACGTCGGGCTCAATTCCCGTCGATGACCGGCGCTGCTTGCTTACTTTTTTCTCTCCTGTTTTTTTCCTTCTCAGTTTTTCTTTACGGCATCACGAAATCTTTGTCTTTTTTGCTCCTCTTCGCTACCCAAAGGCAAAAAACGAGAGCAAAACGATGTCTATCAATCGTCTCTCTGTCGCATCTACACTTACTTACAACAATCTCTAGATTGATAGCAAAAAGGGGCAAAAACAAAACATACAACACCAGGGATTCGCTGGTGGTCAGCCACCCAACTACTAGTCTGGCCCTCACTGGCTTGTCTATGGGAGAGCGGACGGGATCCCGAATTTTCCAGTGGGTGTGGTCGTATGTAGCTGTTTGCGCCGCCATTCCTATCCATGATCTCGAGATTCCCTGTGTAAGCATCATCGACCCCTTTCCAGCTCCACCAACCAAGCCACATCGCACTAGATGTCAACAACAAGGATACATTCGATACGCTTTGTGACAAACAGTAAACTATGCAGTGATGCCTCTAAGTGATCCACACAAAACGCCGCGGCTGCAGGTTCCATCTTGCCACCCAGCCCCAAAACGCCATGCAAAAAAAGCCCTTTTTTGATAACACTAGACACCCGTCACAAAACCCCGCTTAGTTTAACCCTCCATACGCCCGCTCAACATTTTGGTCTGAAAGAAGAGAAAAGAAGAACATGGAAACCAAGGTACAGAAGGAGCTCTGGTATCACGACATGCTAAGCTCGGGAAAAAACTGGGCGATCTTGTTCGGATTTCCGAACTCGTTTCGCGCTGGCTCCGGAGAAACAGGGCTGGAATCCCGCGGTCCGGGGCTGGAGTGTGTGTCGACCGCCGTCAGCGAGGCGCGCTTCTTCTTGATGTTGCCTTGTGACGGCGGTTGCTGCTGCGGGGCAGACCGGATGGGCACCGCTGGGGCGTTGGCTGCTTCGATGTGAGAGAGCGGAGTTCGGACGCGAGGGAGGGTGGTGTTGCCGAAGGGGATGATGGGGAGGAATCTCCTCTGCGTCTCCGTCTCGGTGGTGGCGCTGGGGGTGGTGATGGTGGGGGTGCCCAGCCGTGCCGAGGCTTTCTCGTTTGTCTCGAGGCCTTTTGCGCGGGCGAAGGCGGCGGAGCGGCGGTGGTGAGGGTTGCGGTCGTAGTACTGGTCTAGGATGGGGTGGACCATGACCGTTTGGTTGTGCACGGTAAGGATGGAATTGGTCGGGACGTTGACCCAGTTTTCTGTTGTGAAGTCAGTGGTTTGTTGTTGACCGTTTTCTAGCGTGGCTAAACTCACCTCGCTCGAAAGTCAGCGGCTCGCTCGCAACCAGGACGACGTCTGCGCCCTTGTCGCTGCGAGCCATCTGGTAGTCCCGGCTATCCGGGTCTGGCACTCGCGTCTCCCACAGCGTGCCAGAAGAGTAATACAGGCTGGCCGCCTCATCTGATGAGCTGCCCACATATCGTGTGCAGATGACGGTATGGCCATCCGTCAGAGCGAAGTTTAGAAGACTTCTGGTATCGACATTCTCAGCCTGAACGACGCTCTCTGGGATGCCATCGATAAGCTCGTTGATTAGAGCAATCGTCTTAAGCATCGCCTTCCTCAACACCGTCGGTCCAAAGCCATCGACGGGCTGAGAGCTAGGGTCGTGACCCATGCGTTCTAGTGTGTCGAGAAACAACGCAAACGCCCACTCGCTGTCAGTGCCGCCCACCACGCCGAGGTACCACTTGTCGGCCAGCCTCTCGCCCAGGCGCCTCTTGATTTGCTTCCACCCGCCTAGGCCGCCGTTGTGCATCCACATCAGACTGCCATGGCAGAAAGGATGGCAGTTGTCCTCGCTCAGCGAGCCTTCGGTGGTAGCGCGGACGTGGGCGAAGATGAGGTGCGAGGCCGTCTTGGAGGCAAGCCGTTGAAGGTTGACGCAGTTCCAGGCGGGTGTCGTCGACGTGAAGAGGCAGGGGGCGGCTCCCAGCTTGGGCTCCGTGTAGAATCCAATGCCGAATCCGTCAGCGTTGTTCTGGCCACGGCGGGTGTCCTGTGTGCTCATGTCAGCGGTTGTGCCCAACGGTTGTGTATTCGTTGAGTCAGAGGCAAACGCACCAGCCGAAGTCGGGAGTCGAACGACTGCTTGAGAATCGAGTGTGTTGGGTTGAGAATCAGCTTCGAGAGGAGGATCTCGTCGCTCCCTTTGTAGACCTGAATACGCGCATGAGGGTCAGCCCGAACGCTCTGGTTGGCAATGTCGCCATCTGTTCCCATTGGGTCTTGCTCACCAGGAAGCGACACATGTCGGGCAGCGTTCGGATGCCGGCAACGCAGGCTGATCGGGAACGGTATTTGTCTGTGGACCTCTGGAAAGGACGACAGTGAGGGTGTTTGCGGTGTGAATTGGGTGTGCTTGACGAATGGTTGTTGCTGGTGGCGGCAATCAACTAATAACGAGGGCGCTCACGACGTTGAGACCCACGAGCTTCCCGGCGGCAGGGCTGATGAGCGCTGACGGAATCCGCCTTCTGGATGGCGGAAGCTAGCCAATTTTACGGTAACTAGCGCAACATCCTTGAAACGGCCCCAGCGCTCTTCAATGCCTGGAGTGTCCACGACCTGCGCTCAGATTGAAGAGGCCAAACTCTGCCAGTTTATCCCTCATCCCTCAACAAATGGCGGCACACTTCAAAAACAAACATGTCTTTGTCCTATGCTAAACACGGATTGCTGCAGCCGCCCACGTATCCACGTGGTATCTCCAGCTTTCAACGGAAGCCGAACCCTTACCTTATGTCAGCCAACACAAGGCCTCTCCTGACCAGGGTTGTGCATGGGTAGGTTTTCCGCATGATCGCTATCTTACTGCGTACACTGTGGTGAGGGTTCCAGCGTTCGACATTGCGCCATTCTGGCTTCTGGGAAGATGCGATGACAGTTTGAACGCGATCGAGTCAATGAAACCACATTCTTCAAGCGTTGTCTCAGTGCGTAGTTTTAGCAGGCAGTTCCTGCGCTGGCCACAAGACGCTTTACACGAGTAGTGTAGGTGTGGCGCTTTGTGTGGCTTTGATTGACCCTGTAATGAATTCGAGGTGGGGTTGCGGCTCCGGACCCCTGCTGGGTCGCTGCGACCCTGGCAATTGAAACCGCGGGACTGATGAGCGAAGAACGCAATCCGGAACCAAGACGGTCATCGACGAGCCATCCGCACAAACGCCCTCCGTTCTGATCGCTCCCCCAGATGCCTCCCGAATTGCATGCGACGTAGTGCACGCCCACCCGATCCATCATGAGCGCACAGCTCCGCGCCGCGGGGGCTCTCGCCCCTCTCGCTCGACGCGTCACAGTCCGCGCCGTGCGTCACTTCCATCAGGTCCCGCTTCCGACCGGCGGCATCCAGCGCGCCGATGGCGTTACCCGCGCCCTGCGCCTGACCCGCTTCCCGGTGAACGGTTATCACAACGCCGTCATCGTCCGCAATGCCTCCTTTGCCCGCATGCTGCCGAAGCTCGTCATCAAGTTCGCCCGCCTCCCCGCCCTGTTCGGAGGCTTGATGGTGGGGGGTATCGCATGGATACAATACCAGGCCATCCGTAAGAAAAGCTGTATGCGCTCGTGGCGAACTTTGCTGACAGAATACAGAGGTGAGCAACTCGGCTCAGGAGATGTTTGGCAACATGAAGGACACTGTTGGGACGACGGCCGCGAGTCTTTGGGGCAGCGCTGTCGAGATTGCCGGACAGACGAAGCGTGGATGGGAGAACACCAAGGAACAAGTCGAACTTCCCGAGTGGCTGGATAGGATCATGAAGGGAGGCGAGCCAGGCGAGGGCAACAAAAACTCTGGAGGCTCCGGTGGCCCAGAACCACCAAAGCAGAGCAGAGCTGGAGTTGCTGCGGCCGCTTCTGCGTCTGCCGCAGCTTACGGATACGACCAATCCGCCGAAGAGGACGACCGAACCCCTGAGGAGATGGCCAAGGACGACCATATGATGTACATCACGAAGATGATGATTGAGATCCGGAACCTTCTGCAAAAGGTTGGTCAGTCGAATACCGTCACCCTGCCGTCAATCGTCGTTATCGGGTCGCAGTCCTCGGGAAAGAGTTCAGTGCTGGAAGCTATTGTGGGCCACGAATTCCTGCCGAAGGGGACCAACATGATCACTCGGCGCCCTATTGAGCTCACGCTGGTCAACGACCCCGAGGCAAGGACCGATTATGCCGAATTCCCGGATCTTGGGCTGCACAGGATTACCGACTTCACTCTCGTGCAGAAGAATCTCACCGAGCTCAACATGTCGGTTCCGGAGACCGAGTGTGTCTCGGACGACCCGATTCATCTGGTGATTCACTCGCCAAATGTGCCGGACCTGTCGCTTATTGATCTTCCTGGCTATATTCAGGTTGCTGGAGAAAACCAGCCCCGGGAGTTGAAGAGGAAGATCTCGGAACTTTGCGACAAGTACATTCGGGGCCCCAACATCATTTTGGCCATCTCTGCAGCAGACGTGGATCTGGCGAACTCAACTGCTCTACAGGCGAGTCGGAGAGTAGACCCCAGGGGAGAAAGAACCATCGGTGTCATCACCAAGATGGATCTGGTCGACGCCGAGAAAGGGGCTTCTATTCTCGCCGACAAGCAATACCCCTTGCGGCTGGGCTATGTTGGCGTGATTTCGAAGCTGCCTGCTTCTACCTCTTTGTTCAAGAGGGACACGGGAAATGTTCTGACCGCCATCAGCCGAAACGAGAAGTCGTACTTCGGATCATACCCGTCCCTGTTCGGACCAGACGCCAATGTCAACACCGGAACAGTGACCTTGAGGAAGAAACTTATGCAGGTTCTCGAGCATCAGATGTCGTCGAAACTACAAATCACACAAGACGCTATCCAGCGGGAACTCGAGGAGACGACATACCAGTTCAAAGTCCAATACAATGAGGAGCCCATGACAGCAGAGGCATATCTCGCTGCAAGCTTGGACGACTTCAAGCACCTTTTTCACAAATAC